ATGAATTAATGAATATTAAATTTCTCACTTTGTAACTTTTATACGAAATAATAAATAATAATATTTTGATAGTATGAAATAATGAAATGAAAATAAAAAATAATGAAATGTAATTTAATTTAATACGTTTGAGGTTAGAACCCAACTTTTGTTGTACGAAAAAAAAATAACAACACAAAGTTGCACAAATATATTCTCTTGTTGTAAAAATTTTAAATAAATATATTTATACATATAAATTTTTTTCTGTCATGACATATTTCATCTATAAATCGTATGAAAACAACATTGTTAGAATACATAATGATATTTGTGCAAACTTGTATATGATTTTCAATATTTACAATCGAATTTTATATCATTTCGTATAAAAAAGAAATTTTAAAAAATTTATCTCTAAAAAATAATCGCAGTAGATAAGTATTTTGTATATCTTAATTAGATTCATCAAAAATTTCTGTCGGAACAATGATCATTTTAATCGTTACACAATAGTAATATTTTTTTTTAAATTTTAACAAGATACATTTCATTTTTCTCACTTGTTTTTCTTTAATCGTACATTTTAAATATTCCTTCATTTTTCTGAATATAGTATATCTACATATAACATCATTGCTCTTTTTCCTTGGTAATCTGACGCACAATTTACCTTAATTACGACTCTGAAATCTCCGTTTCTCTCGTTTTACTCTCATTCGTTTCGTATTTTTAAATTTCTACTTAAAATTAAGTTTATAATATTATAAATTATATCTATACAGTCCAATAACTTGTTTTAATCTTTCAATTTAAACTATTTATTGTTCCTTTCCCGTATAAAGAGGAATAAAACAAATACAAATATAAACATAACACAAAACTTCAATAAACATTATACCTATACAATTAAATAATATTAAACAATCTTTTACTAACTTACTTAACTTTTTAATTTATTTAACTTTTTAATTTAATTAATGCCTCATAACCGGATAAAAAGATTAGAGAGATAGATAATCGAGTTCTTCTTCTTAAACGAGCATCGAGGATTAAACGGAAAAGCAGAATCGATGATACTCGAATCAGTAAAGATAAATGAGGATCCAAGCTCGTTATGAGAACGATGATGCGATAAAGCTGCACAGCAAAGTGTTACAATCGAGAACACGTTTCATTCGTTTCCACGACATTCTTTCCCTATTGATCGGATTCGTTCGCGGAAACCATTTGAACAGCGTTCAAATACGCTTAAAAAGTCGAATTAACGATAAACGTTGGACAGCTGCAATCGTTACCACACGGACGACATCGTAAAAACGATACCAGGTTGGTCAGGTTGTAAAGGAAGAACATGGGAAGGGTTGTGGGGGAAGAAAAGAAGCGCAAAGCGTGGATCGATATACCGGTTTTTCGACGCCGCACGTCGTTCGACGCCGCAGAAAAATAAGCTTCGATCGATCATGGAATTTCGGCCTGTCGAATGTACAACGTTTTATCATCACAACGATTTGCCGAGGCAAACATTGGCGCCGATCCGCGACGATATTGCTCGCGTCGACGGTCAATCTTTTAATCTTGCGTACACGCGACGTGCATGTAACTAAATAACCGTGCGATTTCCGTCATGAAAAATCGGGGAAATTAATGCAACGTTTCGGATTCCATTCTATCGCGATGGAGATGATGATGATCCGTTTTGACGAACTGGTGACATGGATTTTTGAAAATTTGAAACGAAAATTGGAATTCGAAGAAGATGATGCTATTTATTTGTTAATTCTTCGTCAATTCGAATAATTATGGAACGAAATAAGATTTAATTTTTAACTTAGAATTATATCTAATAAAATTTATCGATATTTTATATACATATGTATATAATTCTTCAAAAATATTGATTATTAGACTGTGGATTTTTATTAAGAATTAAAATATAGTAAAAACAATATATTATAATATATAAATTATATATCTGGATTTTACATTTGTCGATAACCTGTGAATTTTGATGATTTTTTAAATAAATTATAGAGAGGAAATTTTTGAAATATTACAATCAATGTAATGTAAAATATATTTACATGAAAATTCCGCTGCATATTAATTAACTTTCGATTTTAAATAAGATGAAAAAATCTAGATCGATCATTCTTCGATTATTTTACGTTCCAATCATAATAACCAATAATAACAAATAATTTATTTCCATTATCAGTCAAGAGCAATATT